TTTGTAACTTGGCGTATCAAAGCTGGCTTGAGCCACCGGCTCAGCACCCCTGGTCAGCAGAGATAAGAGCTGCAGTTCTTTTCCCTGGAGAGGGACCAGTAGTTGCAGTTGACCTGTATAGGTAGAGGAGTTGAACGAGAACAATTTCCATTTGGATTTTTGAAATAATGGAAGTAGTAAGGGTTTCCCAGGTCCTGCCTGGCTTCAAGAAGCCAAGTTAGGGAGCATTGCAATAGATAAACACACCAGCTCACATGTTAGGGGTCACTAGCTCTATTGTTCAAATAGAGAAATTTCTTGAAGCCTTGCTACTCAAACTGTAGTCCCTATACCAGCCACATTAGCATTCTTTGAGGTCTGACTGGTCCTGCTGAATCCTAAGCCCTACTCCAAACCTCTGGGGTCAGGATCCATGTTGTGACAAACTCCTTAGGAGGCTGATGAAAAATTTCCCCTAAGTGACTGCAGCAGTTTCCTCTTAAGATTCCATGGCAGCTGGAGAGATGACAGGGAAGAGTGAGGTTTGGGTCTGTCTTGCATCTGTCCATGGAGAGAACTTCCTCATCCATTTCTCAGCTGTGGAAGGATAGTAAGAACAAAGGCCATGCCTTGTTGGCTTGAGGTTTGTCTGCCGTGTGTGAATGTGATCACTTGGGAGAATAGTGCCTTGGCCTAGGGAGCAACTCAGAGACAGAGGGGGTTGAGCAAGCACAGGTATCAGGCAACAGCAAGAATAAGTCACATTTGCGGTCACAACAGTGCTCCCACCCACAGGAAAGCTGGGCTTCCTGTACCAGTCAGTACTAGAAGGGTAAGAGCTAAGGGAGCTATGTTGGCCTATGGGGATCCAATGATGTTAAAGGTGCTTGGGGGTGCATGTCACCTTTCTGTCTGGGTAAGAGAGTGGTCGTCTTCAAGAAACAGCAACAAGGCCATGAGTCAGGCTCACTATTTATCAAGCATAGAGTTTGCACAATTTAAGATTTCTGCAGTTGGAGTATATTTTATATAGAATGAAACCTATAAAACTTCTAATTTACTCAGTGGCATGACCTCATTGTTTTCTATGTCTTCTTTCATGCAGAAGTGAAGCTTCCAAATTGGGAAGTCACTTGAGCATACAGTTAGAAAAGAAAGGGACCCCTTGAAGCTTGTCAAGCTCTCCCTTCTAGGAGACAGAGTAGGAGGAGGCGGAGCCCCATTAAGTGAAACACCAGTACCAGGAGGGTAGGGTATACTGGGTGTCATGATGGGACAAGAATGCAGGTGAGACCCCCAGTTCTGCTAACTATTGGTCCTGTGTTTTCCCATCACAGCCAAGAAGCACTGCCACAGCCGCGGTGGGGCCCCAGCTGGAGGGCCCGGAGCACCAGGCGCCCCTCACCTATTTCCCATGGCCTCAGCCCCTTTCCACACTGCCTGCCTCCAGTCTGCAGTACCAGCCTCCAGCCCCAGCCCTGTCTGGGCCCCAGTTTGTCCAGCTTCCCATCTCTATCTCAGAGCCAGTCCTTCAGGACATGGATGACCCCAGAAGGGCCATCAGCTCCCTGACCATTGACAAGCTGCTTTTGGAGGAAGAGGAAAGCAACACATATGAGCTCAACCACACCCTCTCTGTGGAAGGCTTTTAGGGCTGCCTTGCATCCAACAGCCCTTTCCCTGGAAACTGAGATTTCAAATGAGCCCAGATGGGCCTAGACTCCTATCTGTTTGAAATGGCTCTTCCATAGGTACCCTTTCTGCCTAAAGCTGAATTGTATTCCTTCCTTCTTCTTCCCTCCTTCCCTCCCTCCACCCTATATTCCATCTCCCTCCTGTCTTATTTCTTCTTCTAGTTTTCTTCCACCGGAGGGGGGAATTATAGTGATATTATGAACAAAACCTTATGCTGAATGTCACCAAGTCTGCAGCTCAGAGTTTCCCTTTGTTGTTACATCATTAGAGAAGTGCCCTTCTCTCGGGTGCCCCCTGCTTTCTAGTAGCATTATAGAACTACTCTAAGATCACTTCCCCCCTCTGCCATTCTAAAATGCAGGAGGTCCCACAGGGAAACCAAAGCCACTATCACCTCCTTGCTGAGTCAGCCATGGACAGATGTTCTCACATCCCACAGTTTTGTTTTGTGTTTGCTCTTCCCAGCCTTGGCTAGTCTGAGCAGGCATCTCTGGGCTGGTTAGAGGGGGTGGGACAGGACTATGTGTCTGTGGTTAGAGAGCGGGTGAGGAAGGGGAGACTGAGGAGTGATCAAACCTTGCCTGCAACCAACTTTAAAAAGAATACCACTTTATCTTGGTTCAGCTGGTCTTCTCCCCAGTAATTGTGAGCAAAGCTGGGTGTGGTCAGCAGGATGATGATGAGTCTATCTGTTTCAGCCCTGCTGCAGGCCCTCTAACAGGATGCCAGAGCTTACACTGCCTTTGTCAAGGTATTGTCATAGCAACAGGAAAAGAAACGGGTGTTCTGAAGCCCAACAGTGAGGAGGGTGTCCATTTAGTTCATCCATCAGCCACCATGAAGTGCATTTCCATCCAAGGACCATCCTTCTCAGGGTTCTAGAGTCCTGGTTGGCAGGCCAATTAGGTTTCATTCCAATTTTTATTTTATTTTTGCTGGAGAAGTGTAACATTTACTGTTGAGCATTTTGCTGTTTCCAGGGCACTCTGTCCTGAATTAGATATGCTTTGGGAACTGGCAGGCTACTTGCTAATGGTGCCATCATCACACGGGCACACTTATTCTATGGAATCCATGTTAGAGGTAACAGACATTTGCTGAAAATGACAGTTTCTTTGATACTCCACCCCTTTTTTGTTTCCATTTTCAATGAAAACTTAGAGAAAACCATTTATCTTCTTTTTTCCATGCTTTATGTTTATTTTGATTCAGATATCTCAATATCTACCTAAAGTCCTGGTATACTTATCTTGAGTTATTTGTATTTCTCTTTAATATTTAGACTAAATGTTAGATTCTAGATGATAAGTTTACACTTGCATTGGTAGTTACTGTAAACAAGAAAGGGAAGGGGATGCCCTGGCCTATTTAATTAAGGTCCTGTTGCACATAAAAACACTATTCAAGATTTTCCAGCTACTTGAGGGTTTGAGAAGATGCAGGAGAGGCATACCCAGAGGAGTTAATGCTGGGAAAACAAACACAACAGCAAAGAAAGCAGTGTGAGCATTTGCTAGGGTTGAACTGGTATCTTTCCCCTACTTATCTTGAGACCCTAATGTCTTGGCTGCAGGCATTCACCCAAATCTCCTTCCCAGTTATTCTACTCAGATGCAACATTTTAAATAAAGATTTTTGATGACTTCTCTTTGCCTAAGTGTTTTATTTCTTATCTAATTACTCCCTCTTATCTCTCAGTCCACCGACAGACAGTGTCATTAGAGAAAGAAGCTTGCTATAGTCTTGTTGATCTTGCAAACTGATCTGTTCCAGGAGCACAGAAAAGCTGGTATTTGTTGGGCAGTTCTCACAGGAGAGATTGCATGTAGTTGGATTTGTTCTCCAGGGCAGTGGGTGCCTGAAGGATGGAAGAAAATCTGGCTGGCCTATTGCCCTTCCTGTTATGTGTGTTACATGAATAATGTCTCTTGATGCTTGGCATCTGGGGTCCTGCCACAGGCATTCTCTGTGAAGCCATCAGTTAGGATATGCTGGAACATATGACAGAAAGGGAAACTGGAGAAGGCTGTCATCCCTCCCCCCATCAGCGAGTAACACTTTTCGACCGATCTCTTTCAGTGATTTTTTTTTTTAATTGCAACCTTAATTTTTATTATTTATTTATTTTTAGTTTCTGAGTTCACTGCCTTCATTGTTAACCCATATTGGAGTCATTGTTGTAATTCTGCTATATAACTGTTTCCAGATAGCAGCACCACTTGAACAATCAGCACCATTATTCTTTCTGCAAATTTATGGCGAACTTAGGGGGAAAAAAATGCAGAGAATGAAAGGGATTTGATGGCCGCAACAGAGAGGCCCAGCTCGGTATAGACTGGTATTTTACAGGATTCTCACTGAAGCTATGTATGCACTTCAGCCTGAAAGTAGCCAGAGGCAGACAAGCATGTGGTCAGACAGAGCTGGCCACACAGAAAAAAATCAAAGTCAAAGTGAGCCCAATTTGAGTATCAGGCTGTACTGACCTTTAAGGGACAGCATGAAGATAGGTTCTCTCTCTCTCTCTCTGTCTCTCTCTCTCTCTCTCTCTGAGTGTGTGTGTGTGTGTGTGTGTCTGTCTCTGCCTATGGGTGTGGGTGTGGGTGTGCATGTGCGCACACAGTTGCTGGTGAAGGCCTTGGAGGTCAATGTCAAGTGATTTCCTCAATTGCTGTCCACTTTCTTATGTTTATTATGTTGTGAAGCAGGAGTTCACTGGTTCAGCCAGAACATTTGGCCGGAACCTTTTTAGCAATACTCTTGTCTCTGCCTCTTCAGTGCTGAGATTACCCATGCTTGCAGCTTGACCTGGTCTTTTCTGAGGGTGCTGGAGATTTGAACTGGGGTTCTCAGCCTTGCAGTAAGTACTTGCTGACTGAATTATCTCCTCTGCCTTTAATACTAATCATGAGGGTTTTGTTGTTGTTGTTTGTATGTTTTGTTTTATTTTTTATTTTTAAAATTCATTTACTTAATTTGTGAGAATCTCAGTGATTCCCTGTTGAACTGGGACCTAATCAGGGAGGATCTCTGTCAGCTATTTCTAAATACTGATGAGGATGCTTGCAAACTGATTGTTCTGGTGTCTTCTTATCGAACCACAGATACAGAATACTGTTCAAATGTCTTTTCTGCAAGCTTGGAGGAACGCATCATTAGCTGGTGCCCTAGCCTGTCTGTCAGTTCTTCAGCTCTGGGTGCTGTGGGAGAGGTTTTGTTTTTTGCTTTGTTTTGTTCTTCTTAGATGCCCCCATTGCTATTTCTTTTTTTAATTAATTAAATGATTCATTTATTTTTACATCTCAATTGCAGTTTCCCATCCCTCCTCTCCTCCCATTCTCTCCCTCCCCCCAATGCACTCCTCCTCTGTTTCTGTTCAGAAAGGGGCAGGCCTCCCATGGGTATCAACAAAGCGTGGCTATCAAAGTTGAGGTAGGACTAAGCTCCCCCCCCCCCACACCCTGTATTAGGCTGGCCAGGACAACTCAGTATGAAGAGACTTTATTCATTCATCAACCCATTAGAAGTTTAAAAATTTCATAGTAAGTTAGCAATTTATCATATGCATTGATGGTGTGCAAAGTGTTTTATAAGTTAACATCTGTCACTTTGTTTCCTTATTTTGTGGTGAGGATATCTGGAACATTCAGTAATTTTGAAATGTAGGATTTTACTATAATTGATGATGTTTCCCACATTCTGAAATACATCTCAACACTACATTCCTCCCATCTCAGATTTTGTCATACCCCTAGGCTGTCAGCCCTCTGAGGCCAATATATTCTACCTACTGCCTTTATAAGTTTGATTTTTTTCAATGTATTTTTCTCATAAATGAGAAATACTGGATCTGCCCCACTTTTCCTGGCTGTTCTCCCTTCGCTTAATGTTTTCCAGTTTTATTCATGGTGTTGCAAATGACACACTTTCCTTTTCTTTAAAGCCTGAATAGTATTCCTTATATATAGATACCTCACTTAGTTTTTACCTCTTTCTCTGTTGATGGACACTTAGGATGGTGCTGTATCTTGGCTACAGTGGATAGTGGTGCAGTGAGCATCGGACTGCAGCCATCAAAGAACTATTCATTTCAGGTCTCCTTGCTAAAATTTGGGATTGCTGGATTATGTGATTCTAGTTTTAGTCTTTGAAGGAGCCCCATTCAAATTCCCAGAATGCCCTTCGCAGTTTGCATCACTATCCATAATATATAGGGCTCTCTTCCTCCACACTCTTGCCAATTCTTATCTTTTTTTTTTTTTTTTTTTTTTTTTTTTTTTCTTTTGGAAGGTAGCTTCTTGGAGTGGTATGAACTGATATCTCACTGTGATTTCCATTTTCATTTCACTAATAATTAGTAAAGTGAATGTGTTTTTATGAATCTGTTTGCCATGGATACATATTTACTTTTAAGTGAGTCTGTGGTAGAAAGGCATAGTGAATCACAGAGCTATCTCCTTGAAGTATTTTTCTTTAAAAAATGTTATATTAGCCCTTCACTGTGTGTGTGTGTGTGTACGCATGCATGCATGTATGTGCACTTAGGCCATCACACATGTGTGGAGACCAGAGAAGAGTTCTCCAGAGTCAGTTCTCTCCTTCCATCCTGTGGGTTCTGGGAATTGAATTTGGATCATTAGGCTAGGCAGCAGTACTTTTAGCCCTGGATCCTTCTCTTTGGTCCTTGAAGTAATTTTCTAGCTGCATTTTGTGGTGTAGGCATGTGTGACCTAATAACTCAGGAGGCTGAAATAAGATCATAAGTTCAATACCTACTGGGTGAGTTCAAAGGCAACTTAAGTAAATTTGGGAGACTTTGTCTTAAAATAAAAAAGCAGGATGTAGTTCAGTGATACAGCACTTGCTTGGTGTGTGCTAGGCCTTGGGTTCAATCTTCAGTGCTGGTAAAAACAAGCAAATAAAAAAAGCTTTTAGCTAAATCTTCAGTTTCCAGTAAAATTATTTTCATATATGTATACTTAAACATTTGTAAATTATATCCTTGAATTATGATTATATAAAATGTGATACTAGCATTTTAAGGAAGAAGATAATATTAAATGAGTAACATTTAATTATTTATTTACAGTACAAAATTAATTTGACCTCATTAACTCTAGTAATATTTAAGAGATAAAATATTGTAACATGCCTAATTGCTTTTAAATGTCTTTGTGAGCTGGGATGTAGCTCTATCGGTAGAATGCTTGGGTACCATTCACAAGGTTCTGGGTTTGTTCTTAGGTACTACATAAACTCAATATGGTTCAAAGGACTATTCTAGCACTTGGGAGCAGAGGCAGGAGGGTCAGTAATTCAAGGTAGTCTTTTGTTACACAGTGAGTTCTAGGCTAGGCTGAGCTACAGGAACCTCCCCCGCCAACACACACAATTTTGAAATATCTTAGGTGTAGTTGATCCTGCCTGTAATCTTAACACTTGAGTGGCTGAGGCAGAAGGACTGCCTTGAGTCAGAGGGTAATCTAGGTTACATAGTGAGTTCTAGGCCAATCTGGGCTATAGAATGAGTCCCTGCTTTGAAACCAAAAGATTTCATAATTTTCACATTTGAATACTTAGGTTCAACTTCATTTGATTTTGGTGCTTTGAGCAGATGCCATAACTGAAGATGATGTCATAGGATGATATTTATTTCCAAATAAAAATAGCATATCATTCACTCTGCTAGGAAATCAAGAACCCATTAAATCCTTCCCATCCACGCAAATGCTTTATTTTGAAATTGACTAGTGGGTTTCCATTTTTACTAAAGTCAACCAATCTTGAAAACCTCTTGAAGATGTTATATTCATGCATATATCCAAACATTTTTCAGTGTGTGTGTGTACATGTGTACAGTATGTGTAAGTTTGTGACTGGGAATGGCACAAGTCTTTTGAAAGATCAAAGCTCTGCCCCAGGGACACACTTCCTCCACCACAGCTACACTTCCTAATCCTTCCCAAATGGTCCCATCAGTTGCAGACCAAGTATTCAAACTTATGAGCCACAACTTCCTTCCTTTTTATTTTATTTTTTTTTATCACTTTTAAAATTGAAAATAGATTTCTTTTTCATACAATATGTTCTGATCATGGTTTGCCCTCCTCCAACTCCCCCAGATTTTTCCCACCTCCCTACCCACTCAAATCCACACCATTTGTTTCCTGCATAAGACCCATGGTCTCAGCTTTTTTTGGTCTTTTTGAGTAACAGAGAATTAGTTTTAAGTATGCAGTAAAACTCAGTGTTGAGGCTGTATGATCCTGGAAGACTCTTACTGGTTCAGTTTTGTGATTGATGATAGGTGTATTTAGAGTTTCTATTTATTCATTTCTAGGAATTTGACAGCTGTCTTTTAAGCTGTCAAATTTGTTGCCATACCCTTGTCTAGAGTAAGAGCTCTGGGCAATCAAGGACTGCTGAAATCAGTCTTCTCCAGGGGTGAGTGCCTGATTGTTTATCTAATACAAAGAGGTAGCTCTAAAGAGCATCACGGAATGGTCTCAGTGTCTCAGCAGGTGTGTGTGTGTGTGTGTGTGTGTGTGTGTGTGTGTGCGTGTGTGTGTGTATGTGTGTGTGTGTATGTCTGTGTGTGATATAATAAATAAGAGGTCATACATTCTGAGAAGGAGTGAGTGGTGCAGGCATG